TACCCCCCCCCCCGTCCCCCAGGTATGTACGGTACGGTATGTTTCTGATTCCGTTAAAATTTTTGCCGTTATCTTACGATCCGCTCTCCGACACCGCTCGACTCGTACTGGCGGTTGAAATTTACGAATGTGTAAAACCACCTCCAACCGTTCAATCCCAAACGAAACCGTATTTCGCAGGTGTTGACAGCATGACAGCGGTATATCCGATCTTACCGAAACTGGCGGTGAGGGACAACCTCGACGACGATGACCTCACCGACATCGACGACGAGGTGTTCATCAGGGACGGGAGAAACGGCGGGCTGAAGTTGGACGACGACGGCGGGGTGAAGCAGCCCCTCATGGCACCGCGTAGAAAGTGCAAAAAGCCCTGCAACCTGGAGACCCACAAGATCCCGTACAACATACTCCTCGGCCCGGTGTGCTGCGGTGCCGCAGCGCTGATCATACTGTTAGGCTTAATCGTAATTTGTATATTCACCGTAAATATCTTCCCGATGATCGACCCGCCGATAAGTATATTTGGAAAGTGGATGTCGCACAAGGCGAAGGATCCCATAAACGAGTCGGAGATCATTCCGTGCACCTCGCTCTCGTCCAAAGTTCTGTGGACCGTATCGTTGCCAAAGTTAACACCCGAGGCGCCTCTTAGGAGCAACGACGTTAACTCCGATGGAATTGAAGATATTATCGTGGGATTTAGCACAGGTATGAAAGTGTTGTGTTTAATTCGGATAAATGAATTCATTCAATTGCGGTCGTGGTTATTTTAATATTTTTCTGCTTTCTTTTTTCTTGTGTATATAGTTTATACAATTGATTTCCCTGTGCCGTTATATACTGTGTTGCATTTGCTACGTTGCGACCTTGCAATTGGCTACTTTTATTTGGTTTGCTTTTCCTTTACAGATTTTGGTTTCACATTTACATGATGTTGCTTGTCAGTCTAAGGTGAATAATTGATGTTACTTCATTGGTAGATTGTTAATTTAATCGGTCGCTGTAACATTCGGCTTACGCATTCAGGTCTGGATATGATGGACATGGAGTATATCTGCACTATATACTTTGGAAATCAAACGCCCTGTCTGGGCGGTGTACTAGCGCTGAACGGCAAAACGGGCGAAACCATCTGGACACATTGGACCGCCCATTCGATACTCTCCGTTAACTGTGACGCTGATTTGACGAACGACAAGATCAAGGATTGCATTATATCTGGACGCGGTGGGATACTGCAGGCTATTGACGGCCGCGACGGCTCCAGTGTATGGAAGATACCGCTTCAGGATCTGGCCTCTGAGCTGCAAATAATTTCGGACGTCTACGACGCGAGATTCGTAGCGGATATGGACGGCGACGGGGTCGCCGATGTGATAGCGTCGCACGTCATGCAGTCGGACAGCGTTCAAGCGAGCAATATACTCGTGATATCGGGTAAAAGCGGCAACGTCATACGCAACATTAATTTGCCAGATACAGAGCAGCTGTTCATAGCGCCGCAGATTATAGTGCATCCCGACGGAGAGAACATATTCGTTCTGGCTACAACCAGTCAGCAAGATTCCGGAGGACTTTATATAGTGTCGCAAGCTGATATATTTTACGGTGATCTGGTATGTAGTCGTGGAGCATAAAATATTTGTCTTTTCTTTCGTTAATACGATAGGATTGTCGCGTTAATTAACAGGTTTTTGGATGCTTTTTTGTGTTACAGAAATTGCGAAAGCTCAATCATAACACCGGCAGAAATGCGCTGTTGCCGCCGATCCTAATCGATATTACGTCGGACGGGATTGAAGATATTGTCGCCGCGATGTTCAATTCGACGATTGTAGCGTACAATGGAACCACGTTCGAGCCCATCTGGAATTACACAGTTCCCAATTCCGAGGTAATTAGCATTCCCATTCCCGGTTATTACAACGACGACGATATACCGGACTTCATGGTGAAGCATCAGATAGGCACCGGCTTGTCCACGTACTACTACACCGTGGCCACGGTCATAGACGGTCGTAACGGGCAGCCTTTGCTCGAGAAACCGATGGAGGACAGTCTGAGCGGGCAAATGTCCGGATTGTCGATCACCGTCGACGGATTCGGTAACGATTGGTTTTTGCACTGGTCCACCGACTGCTTGAATTACGAGGGGGTCAAGGAGAAATACCAGTTTCTGAAAGGCCAGAGCTTCATATCGCAAACACGCGCCGACCTCTGCTCCCTGAGATTCAATTCGACGCTCACCACGAGACTGCTCGCTTTGAGCCAGCACGTCGGTCCGCCCGGGCAGTCGCTGTACTTCTCGGAGCACTGGAAGTCGGTGGAGTTCAATAATTCCGTCGACCTGCGAAGGGAAGAGGAGAAGAATCCGAATTCCCGATCAAGGGTCACCGACGCTTACGCGAGCGTACCTCTCGTTTCCGAGAGGTCGCCGAGAGTCCATAAGAACCATCGGAAAGACAGCATCTTCAAGCACAAGGATAATATATTCGAGATCAGCAAATACGACTCGGACGCGGTATACAAGAACTTCGACGAGTCCAAGAGCCACAAGAAACACAATCCCGAGGACACCGTAGAGAACGCGTATTCGGACATGGAGCTAGCGTGGAAGCCGGATAACAAATGGACGGAGGATGACGCGCAGTCGGATAAAGAATACGATAACGTGTACGAGAGTGATAACGGTAACAACGAGGACGGGCAGCAGAGTGTAGATTATTCGCAGGATGAAGCGCGAGAGAAGAGGAGCGTCGTCACCGTTGTTAAAGATCCACATTCGATAAATATTTCTCACAAAGAAATTGGCGATTACTCAACGCCTGAATCGACACAGCGTAATTTACGACTGAATCGTGAGAAAATCAGCCCAGGAAGAACGAATGAAATGAAAGACATCAACGACAAGAAGAATGACTCGGTGAACGAAGTTGATGCGACGAATATATCAATGACGCCAATTCCCAATTCTCACGAAAAGTTATCTACGTCGAGCGACAAATCAAATATTGAGAGGACTACTACAATATGGAGTGCATTAAATACGGGCGAATTAATAGAAAGAAAGAGCACAAATACGAGCACGGAATTGCCGGATGTCGCGCTTACTGAAGCAGCAAAAGTTACTAAAAATCAAATAATCACCGGCCGTCAAAGGGCAACTTTCGCTATTAAAAAAATCGTAGACGTGACACAGCGAAGACAAATTTATAAGCATAGCTTCCCCAGCATTGTCCAGGACGCGGACGATGACGCTAGTATAGAAAAAATATTTAAACGGGAGTCGCTGAAAAATCAAAGTAAAGGCAAGATTAACAAGAAGCAGTTGTCGATGGCCGATAAAGTTGTTAAAATACGGCAGAAGCGAAGAACGAAACGAAACTCCGGAACCGACGGCAGTCGGCCGAGCGGTGCCAGTCGTATTCAGAAGCAGGCGCCAACCGGTATTCTACTGCCGTCTATCGTCGAATCCAAGGGGAAGACGTCGGTAGATTTGGTGTTCTCCACGTTCTGGCTACCGTCGTCCGACGTGTCTCTGATCCTGTCTCAGGCGGACGTGGAGTGCATCGATAAGAAGAAGGCGCTGCTGGACAGCAAACTTGAGTACAAGAAAGACGACGACATCATCGGCGAATGTTTGTCCGAGCGCGGCATTAATTACAGATTGTATCAAGAGGCGATGGATAGGGAAAATACCAAGGTCGCGCTTGGTCAAATGACAATATATAGGATGAAGCTAGAATGCGTGTGCCCGGAGGATATGTTACCCAATCAAACGTGCAGAAATATTTCAACGCATCAGAGCTGGCCGCAGTATCTGGGCTCTTCTGGAAACGGCTACTTCAAGCCATTGCGTAAATTAAATATTTGAAGAAATTACAAGGTACTACTACTTTTTTTTGCCGAACTGTACGAGTTATTGAGGAAACTTTTATTGCAACGCCCTCTGACGTTCATTTCGACCAATGCAATGATTAACTTTAATCTCGGTTTAACTTTGTTTCTATACCCTTCTAGTTCGAAAATTTACGAAAAATTTACGAAAAAAGTTACGAAAAATTAGAAAAAGATAGAGAATGAGTTGAACTGAGATTAAAGTTAATCTACAATGGTAGAAATGGGCCTGATGGAGAGTCGTTAACGATTAACGGAATCAATGAATTATCGAATAGTCTCGTGCGCTATTTGTAAAAGTATACATTGTAAAAGTAACAATCGTAATTCTAATCAATTGTTACATAAGTGATTTATATTAATATTTGTATGCAATTTTCTTCGCGAAATAGAAGAGATGCAGATATCCGCGTATTTGTACATATAAGAATATTGTTGCGCTCTCGCAATTAAAATTTTTATCGTTTAATTTTGAAAAGAATTGCTATAATTACATGTCTGTTAATCACTTACTGATAATTGAAAGTTTTTTCTCAGAACGCAGTTACGAATAAAGAGATAACTAAGTGGCTACGATCCACTTGATGCTACAAATACTTTCGAAGCATTCTTTGATTAGTTAAATAGTAAATAATTATGTATCAGAATCGATCGTGGAGTGTTTCAAACAATTAAGATGAGCAAATGCTAAAATGGTATAAAGCGAATATTGGTGATTAATAATAATATTTTTATATGTGAATCTTACGATTGCTCAGTTTAAGCAAACTGCGCGCCGCGTAATCGTCGGTCTGGCTTAGGTAATATTTTTCGCAATAAGTTATTTTTACAGGGTTTAAAAAAGATGCTCAAAAGCATCGAATTATCATTATTAGATTGCTTTGGCAATTGTGATATTACGATTGTACTATTTAGATTGGAGCTGTGTTTTAAAGACCGACAATTATGCGATGCACAGTTTGCTTGAACTGAGCATTGTAAGATTACGTATAAAATATTATTATTATTAAACACCAAAATCCATTTTGTGTTGTCGTTTGCTTATCTTAACTGTTTTAATTAAAAAGTCTTTTGACTGATCAATCAAATATATGCTTTTAAGCATTTGTAGCGTTAAATGAATTGCATCCTGTACGTGCCAAAGGAGATTTCGATAACTTCTTTTTATGTACAAATATATATTCTAAAATCTATCATGACTTATACGATTGCATAGAAATTAATATAATTAATGTTGAAAGTATACGTTATATCAGTAATAATTTATAATATAATATCTATATGAATTGAAATATTAATCATATATATATATATAATATGTTACTACATATTGATAATCAAAGTTTACATAACTGTATAGTCCGATGTGTGTGTTGATTGTATCAGCAGATACAAATAATCTATATATCTAACAAAAAAATATAAGCCCCATATTCAGAACGCGCTTATAATGTTAGCGCGCTAACAAGTTTTGAAAAAATTTAACGGAAACTATATATGCTAAATGCGCTAATATCGTTGTAAGTGCGTTTTGAACACGGGCCATATTCTGGTGCTATCGATTTATATGCATTCTTACGTGCATTTCCTATAATTTAAAAGGAAAAGAAATCAATGATTTTATTAAATAAAGTTTCCGAATAATATTGTCTGCTGTCTGCTTAATGAAGATTCATTAATTACGTTTGCAGGATAACTTATATAAACATTTAACCACTGTTGAGTGTAACACAAGTATTCGAAGAATATAAAATATACATTATTGATCAACTTGTTGACATTTATTCTTCCATACATTTTCTGTTGCTATGACGTATCGTTTGATCAATATTGGATACTCAAACGGTTACTTGAGTATGACAGATACTTCATTCTGCTTTTTGCAAGAGAAGAGATAATATAAGACAAACGTTCTAAGTGCAGCGTATAAATAAGCTGCAATTAAAAGTACAATGCAAATTATGGTGCAAACGGAAAGAAGCATGAAACGTCGTAAGATACATATGTCACATAAGTTTAACGATTAGTCGATAATTAACAATTTTTTGATGATGCATTAGCGGACCATACTTACACTGTGTGCAGCAGTAACAATCATGTTAGATTATCAAATTCTCTGAAAACCAATCTGTTTGTAAGTATTTGTTAATTAATAAAACATATTTAAAAATTGAATATGGACGTAAGATTCTTCTTAAATTTCCTAACATTTACATTTCCTCCCCAGAGGACATCCGAACATTCTGAAAGTTTGGATAACACAGAGTCTCAAGATTATGGAGATAGCCTTTTTAAAAAATACAAGTTATACAGTTACTCCTTAAATCTTGGGTAAGTCTTCGCTTACTGTTTTTATTCTAAGAATATTTTCTCATTTATTAAGTCCATTTAAATACATTCGAGACATCATATTTCCGTGCACAGTGCGTTGATTAAGTTAAGAAATTTCAATTCTTGGATTTACAGAAGAATGGCTGTACAAGGTAAAACGGTCGAAATCATCGGCGCACATACGTACAAGCATTTTCGAAGATCGATATCTTCATTACCCCTCATACCGAAGGTACAGCCCGCAGACATTCCACGTTGTTTGGACCGCAAGGCCCTAAATGGAATTCTGCAAAGTGCACAGAGACGATACTACACTGGAAAATCCCCTAAATCGGAGCCGTATAAAAACGCAGAGACGCAGACGGATTACAGAGATAGCGAGGCGCAAACTGAACCCTGGGAGCCACCATGCAAAATTGTACCAGGTAACGACAATTACATTGCAGTCATATATACTGTCAAATTTCATAGAATAAGTCAATCAAGAAATTAGAATAATTAAAAAGAAAAAAATACAAGGAAGAAACAAAGCTGGATATGCCGATAATTTATAGTGGAGATATCCTAATTTTTATTTAGGTCACATACCTGAAGTATTGACGTTGGCTCATCTTACTTGGGAACATGGGCTACCCGCGGGTGTTCACGAGGTGCACGTTATCAACAGAATGCGGATGAAGAGAGCTTGGGAAGCCGTTCTACCGCCGATGGATACGCCGGCCAACATAAAGATGCGGAATTCGATACTAACGGCCTTAGATATAGACGAATGGGCATTTCGGGAATCGGTGAGTGTTTCAAAAGATACAAAAAAGAATTTTAATTATTTATTGCCTATAACGTTATAGGTAATAATTTATTACCTATAACATGATCTACATTTCTTTTTTTTCAAGTACATAATACATTTATATAATTTTAATTATATTATATTATTATATTATATTATTATATTATTATATAATTAATTTTAATTATATTTATTAAAGTTTTTATTATTTATATAAGAATCTCAGTCTCGTCTATCTAATATCTATGTTTCTTCTTTCTTTAACTATATGATAATTTTAGGAGATTCAATTCATAATGGATTTACGTCTGGACTTAATGAGGAAGCTCCTGCAGAGCCGTGAGACGGAATACGTGAAGAAAGTGCAGGGTCGTTTCGGTAGACTCGAGAGCAGACTGGGGAAATGTCGGGACAATCAAATCAAGGCTATCAGGCATAATCTTAAACGAGATTTGCGAAAATTACATAGGAGACATCGCTACGAGCAGCAACCTCGTAAACCCGACATAATTGAACGACATATCGATCCCAAGTCTGACCTGTATGTGCCGCAAATGCGTCTCGGCGAGCATCCCCAGAGACGGCACGAAATCTTGCAGAAGCAAATCCTAAGCGAAAGTCTCATCACTCGCATGGAGCGTGAGTGTTTATTTAATTGTAATTAATTGCTGCTGCTCAATCAATTCAATTCGTCGCAATTGTTATTTAGGAGAAGAAGATACAACGCTCAGTTGGCTACCAACTATCGAGGAACCGAAAACAGTTAAACGTGGACCTAAACCGATAGACATTTGTATACGGGAAACCAGATGGACGGAGGAGAAACTGAAACAGCTTCACTCCGATTTGAAGGCCATTCGAATGAGAGTTAAATCTGTAGACAAGGGTCCGAGATTAGTGAGGCGTAAGTACAAGCTGCCGGATTTGCCTGTCACACCGCGCAGATCGGGCACATGGGACAGTAAGCAGAAACAACGGGAAGAATCTGCCACATTTATTCAGAAGCTCGTTAAAGGCAGAGCGATACAATGTCTGGTAAATTACAGATCAGATCACTCGTGCATTTAAAATAGATAACAAGAATAGAAGGCAAGATCCTATAGAGTTAGGTTTGTACAATACAAGAAAGATAAAATTTTATATCTATTGTATTACAGATGTACGAAGGGCGCGATAGATGCAGGGAGCTGATCGAGGAATTACAATCGACTCAAGCGCTCGAAGATCATGAGGATCACGATGAAGAGCCACGTGTGATCGATTTGCAGCAAATGGAGGATCGATCAATGCAGGAAGATCGTTTGTGCGAGATTCTCGATTCCTTAGAGGGGAAGACAGTCTGTGGGACATTAGATTTTCTCAGCAAAGTAAGTGTCCTTTTTTATTTGTTGTTCTTTTACCGGAACAGTTCGCTTGATTATCTCCCTCATCATCTGCTCAGGAGCTGGTGAGATTGGAGGACGAACGTAGAGCTCACGCTTTCGCCTTGCTTGCCGAAAGAGAAAGATGTATGAGAGAAGCCGCCGAAGCTGGCAGGCGGCAAGCGGAACGTAATCGACGACGAGAATTCGACGAGATGTTCAAGCAAATCGTGAAAGTAAATCAGGACTCGGTGGAGGCTTACTTAGAGGACATCGTAAGGGAAGAGATCGATTGGATATCGGATAAAACGGCTAAAGACCGTATCTTAGAAGTATGCGAAAAGATGGATGCCATATCGAAACATGCCGCAGAAAAGTAAGATATGGCATTGATAATCAATAGATGTAAAAAAAATTATTTTATCAAAACAACATGATAAACATGTAAAACACGATGATATTTTCGCAGCACCGACAAGTTGGCAGATGAGGAACTGGTGGCGGATATGATATACAATTTTGTCTTACCCGAGGTCGAAAAGCACAACGTGAGAAAAAAAATTCGCGGCCAACAACAAGATTATATGCGGAATGCATGTATAGCAATTTACGAGAAAATTTCCGAGTTACCATCCGACGAATCATCGCAAGTAACGAATCAAGAAATTTACATAAAAAATGAGGATACAGAAGAAATCTGCGAGGCTGAGGATACGGTAAAAATTACTAATTTGTCGCGATGTAATTATGTTATTTTTTTTATATAAAAATATTCATTTATTTTTCCAGGAACAAAATATCGAGGTAGAAGAAATAGAACTTTCAATGCATAAACCGGATATTGAAAATGAAAGGCGAGCAGGATCAGAAACGAATTCAGAAATAGATTCACAAATCGATTCTTTAATGGAAGCTCAATAACGTCAGAAATCAAAGGTACTTAGGTTATTTTAATCTGAAAGCTGTTTTATATTTTTTTTATAATAAAAGTTAATCGTAATATTTTGCTGAAAATATAGAACTTATCTATTAAACTTTCACAAACGTAACCTCTATTGTATTAATGCAAATTGATAAATATATTAACATCGTAATTCAATCAATATAAAATATTCTGGTTGCACATATTCAAAGATTCTACATTAAATTGTCATTATTACTTTTCCAATATTAATTTATTATCTTTACGCCAATAAATTAATAATAGATAAATTATTTTAGCTTATGTACATCATATCTCGATAAATATTTCTTCCATTTTAGGTCCATAAAACCCATAAATTCATGAATATAAATTGGTAATAAAATATGAAGTCAAATCGTACGCTGATCAATGTTTAATGTTATGAATTACAGTCTTTCACATATGTCAATGATTATATATAACTTTACAGATAGATATGATAATCAAATTAATTATACACGCGTTAAAGAAGTATAACATTATAAATAAGACCAATGTCTTTCAATGTTCAAATTTATTTAGTTCATTAAAATAATCTTAACATTAATTTAATGAAATTACACATTAATGTACATTTTATTGAAATATATCTTATTAAAATAATTTTTTATTCAAATAATATTTTATTAAAATGTACGTCAATACGTTATTGCAACACATATAAGTTTATTGTCCTCATTCTTCTTCAATTTCTTAATAAATGCACAATAAAATCAATGTAACTAATTTTACATAGCATTTATCTGAGAAAATATATTTTTTTAATATATATATTTTGTAAATATACAAGGTGTCAAAAAAAATGCCTGCAATATTTCGGGAGATGATTCGGGATCCAAAAATAAGAAAAAAGTTATATAAACATAGGTCCGGAAATAAGTCGTTTCCGAGTTATGACTACTTTTATGTTACAAAAAATTGTAATTTATTTTTCATAATCATAATAATAATTATAATTCATAACAATTACAATTTATAATGATAATTCACAGTAATCATAATTAGTTATACTAACTCATTTTTTCTACCCAGGATTACCACATGGAAGCATAATCCGCTTGGCATCTCTCTTTTCTTTTTAATTTTTGATTTTTATTTTTTTTTTTAATTTTTCAATATTTGTAATACGATTACATTATTTTTTTAATTAAGGATAAACAGGTATTTAAATCGAATTAAGTAAGATGTTCAAAATGACCACCTTCAGTACGAATGCAGACCCTTATTCTTCTATCAAAGGAACTCTTTGAACAATTTTGAGGGAGATTGCTCCTTATTTCTTCGAATCTAAAAAATAAAAATAAAAATAAAAATAAAATATTTCAAATGAGCTATATCTCCACGTGGTGTATCCTGAGTTAAAAAAATAAATTATTATGTTATTATTGTGATTGTAATTATTATGAAAAATTATTTAGAATTTTTTTAACATAAACGTGGTTGTAACTCGAAAACAAACTTATTTCCGAAACTATGTTTATATAACTTTTTTCCTTTTTTGGATCCCGAATCATCTCCCAAAGTGTTATAGATTTTTTGGATACATTTGGATACATTTGGAATACATTTGTTTATATATTGTGTTGTTCCATCTAATTGAACAGGTAATTTAATAAACTAAAAATATTAATTCTTAAACTTTCTTACAGTTATTGTTTAAAAATAACTGATATCAAGTTGAAACGTTCGATGTACCAAGTGAATATTATGATATTATATTTATTTCGTTATAACAGTTGAAAAATGCATTATATAAAGAGTATAATAATTCTGCAAAAATCTTAGAACTGTTAATGTAAAAAGAGCCGAGTTAGCGCGGGCATGACGAATCGAGATAACCATCTAACGTATTTTTCGAAAGTAAATCCGACATAAATTTTTTGAACTTCATGTCCTTCGCGTCGTTCGACGGTTTCCTTTCTACTATGAGCTTACGTTTTTTGGCTTGCAATTCGTTCGTCTGCTGAAGCGTCTCGGCGTCGGTGTTGATAAATGTGTTGTCCGTTTGCGATTCTCTAATTTTCCGCTTGCGACTCTCTAACGAATCGGGATTCTGCGTCCCTTCCCGCGCACGACTCACTTCGGTAGTCAAATCGACCATCTTCTGCTCCCACTCCTCGAAGTGCTTCCGCACCTCGGCTAACTGCGTGTCTTGTTCATGTATCTTCTTTGCCTGCTTGTGCAGCTTCAGAGTTTGCTGTCGCACCAGAAACTCTTGTCTCTGTATCCTGAGTCTCATTCTCGTGATTTCGTTTCTCATGGACAAGACGAAGAGCTTGCTCTTTTTCGTACGATCGTTAATCTTCTTAAAAGTTTGATTAAGCTTCTCCGAGCAGGTTACGTTATGATTGTTGCAATGCGGCAGTGAGGAGTTACTTATGTTTCTTCCGTGGGAGATCATGACGCCACCAGGTAGGTCGTATGAGTTCACAGTGCCGACCATGGACGTGCAAATGTTGTGCTTCAAATCTGGCAGGATCTTCTCGTCAAAATGCTCCATGGCCATGCTGCTTATATCCCGTAGCTCCTGAAGTATCTCGTGTGCTCTAGGCGGTGTCTTTGTCTCTCGAATCAATCGAAGAACACGGAAAATCTCATCGATTACCTGACACATAGTTACAACATGCTTGTTATTTAACAATTTGTAATGTACAGCCGTGAACAGATCAGTTGTGACACTTTTTATAGGTTTCTAATATATATATTTAAATATACATTTATATATATTTTACAGGTAACTAATATTTTGCAAATGCAAACCGCAATGTACTATCTTTAGTCTAGAGACAATATGATACCAATTGTGGTTTGCATTTGCAAAGTATTAGTTACCTATAAAATATATATTATGTATATTTAAATGTACATAATATATATTTTATAAATATTAGTGCGTTTTGAAACCTATAAAAAAAAGTGTCGCAACCGATATGTCCACGACTGTACATAAAATGAGAATCTGCCTCTTGAAATAAATATGAAAAATGGAGAGATTTGTAAACATAAGAGGTACTTCTACATCAAGCTGATGACGATAGCAGTAAATTTTTCGTAAGGCAAAAAAAATCTCGTTACCTTTCCTGGAATAAAGCAGCAAACGTTCAGGTCGACATACTTGATGAAAGTCATTGATAACATAGAGATTCTTGTTTCTATCGCGGTCAAGATATCGCAGTGACGCGCGAGAGGATGGCTCCGTCGCTCCGACTCTCTCCTGGGCAGCTTGCTTTTGACAGTGCGGAGACATTGCGCGTGATACTTTTCCATGAGGTTGAAGCCGCGGTTGAGCAGCTTCTTGCAGATCCGATCGAACTGTCTGCAAACCTGGAAAAAAAGCGAGATATCGCGAGATCGACGCTTTGCGACGTACTGGGAGAAAGCTGTGTTTCCTGCTCGCGGAAATTAAAGGGCGAACTTACGATCCTATATTTAGAGATCTCATCGTAGGAGAGGTTAGACAGAATCGCCTCCAAGCAAACGTCGGGGAGGTCTATCAGCTGCAGCTGCGCGTCGTCGTTCATCTGTCGCGCGGCAGGAATGTACGAACGTCTCCGTTGCTCGTCAACCATGTCAACTCTTTTCCAGTCCATGCGTAACGCGCGACGTCTACTCCTTCACCGAGAAATCCACACCGTACCGTAATTGACACGATTAACTGCTCCGTCTGCATCAGAGGGGCTCACGTCGGCTCACGAGCTTCGATGACCTATAAACAAACCTGATGTAGGTACGTACGCATATACACACATACGTTCCGAGATACATACGCTCTCTGAGAATCTGTATAGCATACGTAACATTTCGGTGTGTCACTTCGGTTGCCTATCTTGATTGCAAAAAGGGCAGCCAACATAAATCTCGTCGTGAAATTTCGGAGTGTCACTTCGGTTGCCTATCCTGAGTGTAAAAAGGGCAGCCAACATAAATCTCGTCGTGAAATTTCGGAGTGTCACGAAGCGGAGAGAAGCAGCAAGCGATGTTTTTGATGGCTAAAGACAGTACACATTCACTCGGATCAGCTGTGAAAAGTTTAGTGGAGTAAATAAACAAACAAAAACTATCGGAGAGGAAGTAGATGGAAAATTTCAGAATTTACACATTTTTCCAAACGGATCAAACGGTCAGCTGTAAAACAGTTTCTATAGATTGTTGGAACTTTTTGGAATGTTTTGAAATAAATTAACCT